AAGAATTATAAAGTCAATCTCAAGAACTGTGAAAACATGGACCATAAACCAAGTGTGGACTTTTACAAATATATGCATATGAGGAGGAAGAATTGTGTGTATTATAATTGTATATAGATGGGTCTATATATATATATATATATATATATAGAAACTTACTCAGCTTAGGTAGCTAATGAGAAAAGCATATGAAAAAGTATGATTTCAATTTTGTCACTAGTATTGTGGACTTATGAATTGCTAGACCCCACTTCATTAGGCATTTGAATCTCCATAAAAATCCTTAATTGTTAGAAATTCTTATAAAAAACTACTATGCAATGTTCTTGAATCTTGACCCAATTTTTGAAATGGGTTACTGAAATCTTTCAATCTCCCACTTGCTTTATACTTTGCTTGCTGTTGCTTATTCCTCAACGCCTCTACACAACTAAATGCCTTGATGGAACACCTCAAACATCCAACACATTTAATGTCTCATTCTTTATAGTTTTGAAAACTTGTCTCAGTGGCTGAACTCAAACCAAGAATTATACCTGTAAATCACGCATCAGACCATCAGAAGCATTGCTATTGTAATTTAAGGCGGTATGTATGGTTCTTGACTCTTGTCCAGATCGCTCAAAATGCACAAGAGATTGTCTAGAGATACTGTCTCCATCATTCCTCATCTTCGCCACCTTTTAATTTTCACCGAGCGATGTGCTGAGTGCATTGCGTTCTCGTAAGCTTGTGGGTGTGACTAGGCTAGTGGAGTCACGCTTAAAAGCTTCTCCTTGTCCCTTACCACGCTCGCAGTGGCTTAACGTAACCAGGAGCTGTTCAGTGACTTCTTCGAACCTCACAGATCTTTGTGTTGTATCATCCCATTGGCTTCTTCTTTTATCAGCCATCAGCTATCTAAACCTGGCAAGCAATCTAGGAATAGGATAAGCTCTTCTAAAACCTGAGAAATTGTTGCCTTTTTCTGCTCTCAACTGATGCTCGATCAAGGCTCTCGCAACATAGACTACAGTGAATAACAATCGAACCACTAATGCAACAAGCTTCAGGTTCTGAGTCTAAGTTTGGATGAGACATTAGGTGTAGGGGTTGGCTAGATGCTATTGGGAAGGTGTATATGAAAAATACAAGAGTAACTTCTTTCTCAAGAACTCGAGTGTGCCAAATCAGTTTATTGCGTTAAGGAAGTGATGGAAGAACTGACGAGAGCTCTAGAGCTAGAATAATGAGAGCAACAAAATACACGCGTGGAAGAACGAACAAAAAGAATGCAAGGAAGAATGCGAGGGGTGATGTATCGGCACCTGCTGCGGTTAGCGGGCTGAGAAATCTCACAACTGGATTTTTAGGCCCCTTAGCTGAATTTTAGTTTCGTGAAATTAGGGCTCTTCGTCTAGGGCTGGCAATGGGTGGTGAATAGGAGGAGATCTCAGCGATGTCGATCGCGTCGCCCGCCGCAGCGAATTCATCCGCTTTGCGATCTCAGCTAGCATTGGCGCCAGCACCGCGTCCAGTAGCAGTAGCAGCAGCAACAGCAGCAGTGTGGAATCTATCAGCAGCTTGCGCCAGGGCAGCAATCCACAGTAGCCTCGGCGGCGGCAATCCCTGGCGATCGGCGGCCTTGGGGAGGAGCGCAAGAAAGCAGCAGCACAGGCCTAGGGCTCGCGCCATCACGGCCATGTTCACGGGCATTGTGGAGGAGATGGGCCGGGTGCGCGGCGTGAGCGTGGGCGACGATGGCGGCTGCGAGATGACCGTGGAGGCGAGCATCGTCCTGGACGACGTGAAGCTGGGCGACAGCATCGCCGTGAATGGCACCTGCCTCACCGTCACGGCCTTCGACGCGGCCGCCTTCACGGTCGGCCTGTCGCCCGAGACGCTGCGAAGAACATCGCTGGGCGAGGTCTCCACGGGATCGCAGGTGAATCTGGAGCGATCGCTGCAGCCCAGCTCGCGGATGGGCGGGCATTTCGTCCAGGGGCACGTCGATGGCACCGGCACCATCGTTTCCATGGAACCGGAGGGGAATTCGCTGTGGATCAAGGTGAGGGCGAGCCCGGATCTCCTCAAGTACATCGTCCCCAAGGGATACATCGCGGTGGACGGGACGAGCCTCACGGTGGTGGATGTGATCGACGAGGAGAGCTCCTTCACTTTCATGCTGGTGGGATTCACGCAGCAGAAGGTGGTGATCCCGGGCAAGGCCGTGGGCAACAGGGTGAATTTGGAGGTGGACATCTTGGGCAAGTACGTGGAGAGGATGCTCCAGGGATACGCGGTCCCGGCCGCCAGAAGCTAGAGCGCTGGAAGAACTCGCCCAAGAACTAGGAGTTTGCTTATGGAATAATAAAGAGGTCGGTGGTTCGATTCGTTTCCCCGGTGTGTTTAGATTAGGGTTTGTGGTGGTCCGGCAGCGGGAGAGAGCACAGCTCGACGACGCGAGGCGCCACGCCCGCTAGGTCCTCCAGGTGAATGTCCAGTGACTAGAATCGCAGCGTAGAATCGCGTAATGTAGGTTAAGAGGGAGGGAGAGAGAGCGAGCAAGCGAAGAGACGAAGACGACCCTAGTCTCGAATCAGACAGTAGCGGCTTTATTTTTTCCAGAGCTTACGGTCTAGAAATCAAGACTGCAACGGGAGGAGGTGGAAGGAATTTTTGTTCTGGGTTTTTTTGGTTCTTCCTGTTCGGAGAAATGGAAACGGCATAGGAAAGGTTTTATTTTTTGGTCTTGGAGAGTTTAGATGGCTGTCATTCCGTCACTGGACATCAGCTGGCAGGGAAATCACAAGCGCAAGTGCAAGCCGCTCGGGTTTAAGAATCTCGGCAACACTTGCTACTTGAACAGCGTACTTCAGTGCCTGACTTACACTCCACCGCTCGCGAACTATTGTCTTCGGGGCCAACATTCCAAGCAATGTGAGTTTTTGACTCTGGGTGGTAACTTGTCCTTTCTTTCTCATCGATTCTTTCTTTTTCTCTTCTTGTAGGTGATGGAGCCAACTCTGCCTGCCCGTTTTGCATGCTGGAGAACAGGATTTCTCGGTCGTTCGATATTGAGGTGCCGGTCGATGCCCCGCAACGGATATACAAATACCTCCAGACGTTTGCGAAACATTTTCGGGCTGGACGGCAGGAAGACGCTCACGAGCTTTTGAGATACGCCATAGATGCATGCGACAGCGCCTGTGCGCGGCTCCAGAAACGCGGTTCGAAGAGCTCCGACCAGACCGTGATGAAGGAGATTTTTGGAGGATTTTTGCAGAGCCAAATCTGGTGTTTGTCGTGCAACGCAGTGTCTAGCAAGCTGGACAGCGTCATGGACCTCAGCCTGGACATCGTACGAACTAAGACCTTGAAGGAAGCCATCTGCAATTTCTTCCAGCCGGAGGTTTTGGACGGCAACAATAAATATCAGTGTGAGAAGTGAGTATTTTTCTTACATTATGATTTTCCTCAGCGTCTCTTATTTTTTCCTTCCAGGTGTAAAAAGCTTTCAGTCGCAAGGAAGCAGCTGTCGATATATCAGTCTCCTAATGTTCTCGTCATCCAGTTGAAGGTATTGTCCCAGCAACCATTTCTCTACCAAATGCTAACGCTTGCTTCTTCAGAGGTTTGAGAATTTTCTGGGGGGCAAAATTGATGCTCACGTAGAGTTTGAAGAAGAGCTGAAGCTTCGAAGCCACATGTCAAAAAATAGTCCGGTAAGCTCTTTGATTTCTAATCATTTATCGTGATATAGTTCTTTCCAGGATGTGCATCCCGATTATTCTCTGTATGCTGTTGTAGTCCATTCTGGATTCTCGCAATATGGTGGGCATTATTATGCTTATGTCAAGGTATTTGTGTTTTCCTACGTCATAAAGTAGTGTTTTATACGCTTTCCAGGACCCTCGAGGACAATGGTATTGCTGTAACGATTCTTTCGTTTCAGCCGCCTCCAGCGCGACTGTATTGTCGGAGAGAGTCTATATACTTTTCTACGTCCGGGATTCTTCCAAAATTTCGAAAGACGGTCTTTCTTCCGCCTCCTCTACGCCTTCACCACCTCCAACGCCTGATCCCGTCGTGCTCAGCCCCAATGCTTCTTGCTCATCGGCGAAGAATGGCCAGCAGAAAGTTACATTTTCATTTGCGAAGCGAGAGAAGTCTACTGCCCTCAAGCCGATATCCGTAGCAGAGGAAGTATTGAAGCTGATTGACCCCAAAACTCCTGTAGACAAGCCAGAGAGCAAGCCGCCTGCGGCGATATCGTCGGCCACAATGTCGGTTTCAAAGTCAACTCCTCTCGAAAACTCTGTAAAGTCGGCAAAAGCTAAGGACACCAAGTCATCCGAAAACGGTGTTAGCGAGGAGATCCAACCGGCAGTCCCTCCATCACCGCCAAGGGAAAATGATGCAGCACGTGCAAGCGAGTCTGCAGGTTCCAAAGTTTCTGTGCCACAGAAAAGACAAAGGGAACTTGAAGCTCGTTTGCACGATTTTAAGGCCTCCGCAGATTTCGAAGCGCTAAAACTAAGGTAACTATGAAACGTGCTTCTTTTCTAACTCCCAGGTTTGTTTACTCTCAGGCTGGAGAATGAAGGCCGGGAAATTTTGAAACAGTCGGGCTGGTGTGATGAGGTTAGACGGTCCACAAAGCGATGCCGCAGAGATGACCCCGAGGCAAGGTGAGCAAAACTATTGATAGTAACAAAACAGTGCTAACTTTTGGTACGTGCAGGGACAAAATGCGTGAAGAGCTGCGCCGTCAACTCCCTGAGTCGGTGAAGGAGCATCTCGTGAGCCTTCTACAAAGTTTTTACATGACTAAGAATTTCATAGGTGGGAGTTTTTGAAAGTCTTGGTGCTATCCTACCAAGCTATTAAGTTTTGTAGGGGATATAAATAGAGATCAGGACTGGGAATGTGAGCCGAGTTATGGAACGGTATCTTCTTTTGAAGCTCTTTCTCTTACTTACATCCTCTCGGGGGTCTTGAACAACATTTACAGACAGGGTCTATCTATCTGAAAGTTCCAAGTTAAACAAAACAAGAAGACAGATACTAGAAACATTCGCAACCACGGCACTGGAGAGTACACCTCCGATGACGAAGGAATCTACAGGAGAAGGATGTGGAGCCATGGACCATTCATGCCACAACTTCTCAACGCTCAAGCCAAGTATTTGCCAGGTAAAGCTCTCATCCCACCCGTCTGCCATTTTCCTGTTGATCAAAGCTACGAAGTCGGACTGAAACGAGTCTTCCAGGTACACGAGGAAGTGTGCCGTGGCATACGAGCCAACGTCCCAGGGGCCTTTGGTGCTGGTCACGAACTCATCCGGCTCGAACTGGTTGTCCGGTGGGAGGCCGGCTTTCAGGCGCACGAACTTTGCGATGCCCGTCAAGAGTCCCGAAGGAGCGGCACCAATACCGTTGATCCAAGCATTGGTCATCTGCTCGTAGATGAGCCCCTCGATCTCTCGGGTAACGTCTCCCTGAAACTCCCCCAGGTGCTGCTGGCTGATCTCAATGACTGACATGTTGTCGATGGTGGTGGTGCTCGCAGTCTCCCCCTCGGGCAGCGTGCTAATAACCAGAACAATCTTTCTCCTGCCCGAGGAGCTCACTTGGAGCAGTCTGGTGGTGAATCTCAGTGCCTGCTTGAGCACACTCTTGGCCCCGGCGTCGCCCATGTTCTCGACAAAGCTCCGGTTCCCGCGACTGCTCCCGGCCTCATTCAGAACCTCGAGCTCCGGAGCGTGAGACTTCGACTTCACGGGACTTACTTGGATCCAGAGCATCAATCCCAGCACGAGAACCAAGTAAGAAGCTCTGTCGTTTGGATGCTGCTCGCTGCGCATAGCAGACCTTTCGCTGCTTCTGGATCCAAGAAAAGCCAGACAGACAGAGAGAGAGAGAGAGAGAGAGAGAGAGAGGGCCAGCGTTGTTGATGTATCGCTGTCTAAGCTACAGTGGAGCATTCCTTGCGTACATAGTAGACAAGAAAAGCTTCTTTGACTTCACTGGAAATAAAGCAACACTTTTTTAAACTTAAACACTAGACGGCGGGAGTTAAGATTAGGGCTCTTGAAAGATTACAGCGAATATCCGTCAGTCCAGCTCGTTGTCGCCATAGGCCACGAACCGGTAGCGCTGCTCGTAATCCCCCCGGAAGAAGAGCTGCGCGTCAAACCACTTGGGAAACCTCACCAGATCGCCCGCGAAGTACTCGCCGCTGAGATCGCTGTTGACGGGGTGGACGAGCAGGCTGCCGCTCACAATGTAGACCCACTCGTCCACGATCCAATCCCAGAGATAGCCGCACTCGCCCGATTTCCAGCGCGACCAATCCGCCACGCCCAGCTCCTCGAGCCGCCGCTCGCTCACACCGCGCTCCACCCGAATCGCGTAGATCTGCTCCATGGGCTTGCGGCGGAAGATGGTCCGGGAGAGCTCCTTGGCGCTCAGCTTCCTCTTGGGCGCCGCGAATGTGGAGGGGCCGCCCTTGGCCATCGCGGTGGTGGGCGGAGCGGCGATCGCCATGGCCGCCATGGATGGATGATTTCTAAAGCCCTAGATAAACCCCAAGCTGCGAACACTCGAAAATGGTGTTGGTCCCCAAAATTCTTTCTTGCGAGGTTTCACATGAGATTTTCAAGCTCGCTTGTTTCCCTGGTTCTGTTGGTAGTAGAATCCTCCCGGAGCGGCGGTAGCGCCCGCGCCGCCGGTGGTGGCAGCCTACGAATGAATCGATCGTTTGAGAAAACCAAGAGATCGAAGAAAAAACGCAGAGATCGAAGGAAAAGCTTACTTGGACAACTCCAGGGAGCGTTCCCATGCCCAGAGAGTGGAGAAGATCTTGCGTCTCCTTGTCAACCTGAGAGAGAGGAGAGTTAGAAGCTAGAATCGATGGAAATGCAACCTTATACCTCGATCACGTCGGTCTTGATTTCCGACTCCTCGGGCACGAAATCCATACGGCGCTCGCGCTCCTCCTCCTGGAGCTTGAGCGAGATGCCGCGCACTGGCCCCTTTTGGATCCTCCTCATCAAATGCTGCGAAGCAAGCAAGAGAAGAAACGATAAGAAGCTTTAGATCTTTGTGAGGATTTCTTACAGTGGCGAACCCAGCGATCTTGTTGCGCAGGCGCTTGGACGGGATGATCGCTACTTCCTCGGCGATCTTCTTGTTGGTCTGGAAATCCAGGGTCATCCGAGAGTAGTACCTCTCGATGATGACCCTCGATGCCTTCTTCACAGTCTTGGTTCTAACGCGCCCCTGGACAACATTTCGCACAGTCACGCCACAAATCTCCCAGCAACCAGACACTCACCATGCTTGCTCTTGCGAGATCAGCGAGAGCGCGCGCGCCGCAGTAGTAGCTTCTCCAAGAACCCTAACCCTAGCCACCAAAACCCTAGAGACGAGCAAGGAGAATATCCCAAGGAACAAGGATACGCACAAGCCACGTGTACATTTTCGATTGGTTGGAAGCCTTTGCGTCATCCATTCGAGAGGAGGAAGATCAAGGCGCTCGACGCAGCGGCGAGGGTTGGATCAAAGGTCTGTGGCTCGAAATCCTTGCCTCTGGATCGCAATGTATGCTAGATTGTGGCTCTAGAGCTCGTAATCTAGGTGTTCTTGGCGACATTTCATCCACTGACGCTGTGCGTGTGCTCCAGAATCTATGGCAATGGCGACCGCCGTGACTGGCACCTCCACCGCAGTGCTCCAGAGACAATTCCTCGGATCAGGCCTCCGGATTCGTCCACAGCACGCGCGCGCGGCGCTCCACACCACAGCCATAATCTCGTCCAAGCTCGCCAAGGAGGAGCTGGGGAGTGGAATTGGCTACAATGCGCTCGCGGGGGCGGTGTTCGCGGCGCTGGCCAGCGTAGAGTCCGCGAGCGCGGCACAGCAAGCGGTGGCGGAGCTCGCGGCCGGGGCGGACAGCGATTCCAGGGGATTGGCGCTGCTCGTCCCTCTCGTCCCGGCGGTGGGATGGGTGCTCTTCAACATCCTCCGCCCGGGGCTCAACCAATTCGAGAGGATGAAGAACGCCAAGGGGGTGGCGATTGGATTGGGTGGCCTGGGCGCCATGGCAGCACTAGCAGCGTCCACTCCGCCTCACGCTGCCGCCGCCGCCGCCGCCAGGGAGATCGCCGAGCTCGCGGAGAGCGATTCCCGGGGCCTGGCCGTGCTGGGCGTTCTCGTCCCAGCGATCGGATGGGTGCTCTACAACATCCTCCGGCCGGCATTGAATCAGTTTGATCGGATGAAGGCGTCCAAGGGGGTGATCGGGGCGATTGGCATTGGAGCGGCGGCGGCGGCGGCGGGGCTGGGTGGCGCGCCCGAGGCGGAGGCCGCGGCGGCGCAGGAGATCGCGAGCATCGCCGAGAGCGACAACCGGGGACTGCTGCTGCTGCTGGTGATTCTTCCCGCGATTGGATGGGTGCTCTTCAACATCTTGAAGCCGGCACTGAACCAGCTCAACAACATGAAATCCAAGTGATCGATCGAGGCGAAACGAAAGAGATTTCTTCGAGAGCGTTCGCTTTAAAAATATAGATATAAACATGTATAAAATAGGGCATATGTAACAAAGGCCTGATTGATATGGCTGTTTAGATCAACTTTGTCCGTGTGGAGTGAAACAGCCTATTTGCAATGGAGGAGACTACGATGACTTTGAGAAACGCCTCCAAGCGCAAGAGTGGAGTTTCCGCGAGCAGAAGCCATTGCATTGTGCTTGTCTCCGTCTCAGCTCTTTCAGATCTCCGTAAATGCAATGCCTCGGAGCTTTGGAAGTGGCTGAAAGATTCAAAACCTAGAACTCGAGGATTATGTCAAAAAATTGTTCGAGCTCGAGTTGACAAATTGTGATTTTTAAATCACAAAGACAAGAATTGGTCACAACCATGAGTCTTGTTATAAAACCGTGGCGAAACGAACGAGACTTCTTCGAGAGATTTCCGGCTTTGGAATCAGAAGTGACGATTCTTTGGATTTGAGTTGAAAGATGACGGACAGATGCAATCTTGCCATTTGGAGGCATTTGCTGTAACCGGAAAAGACAAGGATTCTCCGAGGTGGGCGTGATTTTCTGCTCTTGATTGCAAACCGTAGCGTCCAACAGCACAAGCCAAGGAATCCTCGACGGAGTTTTGAGCTATTAAGATCGTGATACTGAGCCTTATGGAACATGATAGACAAAGAGCGTACGAGAAGATGAAACGAAAGAGATTTCTTCGAGAGCGTCCGCTTTAAATACAAACCCTGTGAATCTCGAAATCCCCTGCGCTTGATTCATCGAGTGTCACAGGTAAATCCAAGATAAATTGTTCTTTGCTTCCAGGACTGTTTTGTAGATAATCTTTGCGGAGTGCAGCAGCCCGCCTTCGATGTGAGACCACAACCTGTTTGAGAGACGCGTCCAAGCGTGGCTCATGTTTCTTGGGCTGTGGGATGTGGTGGGCGGAGAAAATGCCCCGATGTGGAACGCGGCCGAGGCGTGAGAGCGCGAGCATAGAGCACGCGGAGCCATTACATTGTGCTTGCCTCCGTCTCTGCTCTATGCAACCCCGGATCTCGGTACACACACGGCCTCGGAGCTTTGGAAGTGGCTAGGCTTATTTCTGCCGGCACTGTCCGGTTAAACTTGCCCTTTAGGGGCATTTGCTGCAAACGGCAAATAAAAAGATTGTTAGACTGCTCACTGCGTAAACTGTCATGTATGAGTACTAATAAAGCTCTTATCATCGTTAATGGCGAAGCAATCGTTTGTCAGAAACGGCGTCCAACGGCACAAGCCAAAGAATGTACGATGGAGTTCGTGATAGTGCACACAACACAACCATGAGTCTTATATAACATGATAAACAAAGAAGTACGTGGTACTGTCAGAGATCAACCGCGGGCCTGCCGGGCGAAAGCTAGCAGCCAAGAGCGCGAGTCCGTGATCTTCTCCATTTCCCAGCCCAGAAATGTTTACTAGTACCACTTATCTGCCGCCGCTGCTGCTGCTGCTGCTGCTGCTTTCGTTGCTTGTCCCGTGGCCATGTCCGTGTTCTGGTCAGCACAGCCTTGGCCTGAACACTCTCAAACATCGCCTGCCACAGGCGAGGCACACAAGATAAGAAAATGCTTAAATGGGGTGACCTTCTCAAAAAGAAAGGACTTCTATAACTCATGATCTAGCGGCCCAGCTACGATTAAGAAAAGCAGTGACTGGAATGAGAGAAGACTTGACTTGTTGGGAGGAAGCATAGCATCATCAGCATGTAGTACAGGCACAGCTATAGTCAAACTCCCCTACTCATGGTACTTAAAACCATTTTAGAGCAACCTGAAACTTTGATTGTCAACCAAAGTTTTTCAAAGAATTGGTCCTTTTAGCAGGCAGGCAGGCAGGGCTACCAGGACCTGGGACACAATGCATTAACTTAACAGCACCAGCACACCAGGGAGGGGGCTCACTCATTCATTCACTCATTCACTGGCGACCTGGACCCAGCAGAGAGAAAGCAATGCACAGAGCATGGAAACACCATCTAGAACGAGCATGGCCGCTGTGCTGTGCAAGATATATAAACAAGCAATAAAAGACACACCAGAAAGTGACCACTCCTACAACCCAAAAATTCTTCTCGCTGCTCCAGAGAGCAACTAGTAATTCTCCCTCTCCCCACACAGCACCACAGCCAGACACAGTCACTCCAAAAGCGAGAAGGCAGGAAAGCACCATAAAAGATGAAGAGTAAAGAAAGGCACAGAGTAAAAGGAGAAGCTACTTACTTGCCACCAGTGTCGGAAGAATCTCCTCTTGGAAAGCCTTAGGTTCCTGTTCCAAGGACGTAGATTTGCTGCTGCTGCTGCTGTCACTTGTGGTGCACCTCGGTCGTACCCAGCACTGCTACATCTTGACCACAGCCATTCCTTCTCAACCTCTGGCGGAGCACCACCACCACCACTTCGCAAAAGGTTGCCACCAGCAGCACTTCCAGCAGCAGCACGAGGACGACGACGACGAGCACAAGGCTCCTTCTCCACATCCGCCTTGGGATCGCCTTCGCCACCACACTCTTCATCTGTTGCTTCCTCTTGGAGCACCACCACGTCTTCATCCGAGTTGCTGAAATCTGGAAATATCAGACAGTATTTTATGCTTTTCAGGCAATCAGCAAAAGAGGAAGCAGAGCAAGCAGCCATGCACAAATCCCTGTCTGTCACGCTGCAGAAGCCAAACACGGGTCCAGCAGACACCAACCAAGCCAAGCCCACTCCAGCCAAAATCCCAGCCAGCTAACACACTGAACACAAGCACAGCAGTAGCAGCAGCAGCGAGGCAGCAATTGCGTCTCACAAGAAGAAGAGAAAAAAATCAGCCAGCCTCCACCCTCTCACTCACCCAACGCCCCACTTAAAAAACAAACCGAGACAATGCCAAAGAATGCCCGCCTTGCAACTCGTAAACAATCAAGCATGTGCACACCGATCAATCCCCCATACGAAGGACCGAGTCGTCGCGAGCAGCAGCTCTCTTCTAGGTGGACCTTTAGCTCAAACAACAAACTTGTCAAATGTTAGTGAACTCCATTACAAGAAAAAAAGAATGCTGTGCTACTTGCTAGAAAAAGAAGAGCACCTGCTGGCGGCTTTCGATGACTTCGCCTGGAGCGGCGATGATTGGAGCGGGCTCACTGTTTCCTTGACGTCAAAGTACTCCGAGCTGTAAGGGATCAAAGGACCGCTCCTGTTGTTGTCCATCCCTTGGTATGGGAGCTGATGATGGTGGTGGTGATGACCCCCATGGAGCTCCATCGAGTACTGCTGCGGGGACCTGTTCTGGCTCGTCATCACCATCTTGTTCTCGGCCCTGCATATACCACCGTCAAATGAGTACTCGGAGGACGTGATCTCCGTGGGAGCCCTGCTCTGCATCTTGGTGTCCACCCCTCCGCAGTAGGAGAGGATGTGGAGGAACACGCAAGACGCCGCGCTGTGCTTCATCTTGACTTTGGGACTGGCCCCTTTCCCCTCGGCCTGCTGCCTTCCAAACCGTCTCTTCAATTTCCCACCCTCGTGCTTGGAGGGACCTTTGCCAACCGGAGCAACGCTGGGAACGAGTTGCTCGGGATGCCGTCTCTCGTTCCCAAAGCACGTCGGAGTGGAGCTCCCCGACGACTTATAGTCGGGTGGGCAGTAAACGTAGCCATTCTCCTCCGTCTGTGTGGCGACGGTGCAAGCATGGTCGATGGACGGTGCCCCGGTATGCGGCCTTGAGACCTCACACACCTTGATGTCGTGCATTCCGGAGTCTTCGTGTGAGAAACCACCACCGCCATTTGCTCTTTTTGTGCTGCTACACTCGTCCGAGCCGGAGGATGCCTCGGGGGCGTGGCGTTTCCCATTATGATGATCCAAACCGAGACTCCCCAGCTGGCTGGTCACTGCTTGGACGCTCACGCTGCTGCAATTCTCCGGCATTTTCTCTGGGATGCTTCCAGCGGCAGCATACTCCTTTGGGCTCAATGAACCCGACGAGGCCTTGAGCCATGTCTCGGCCCCTCGGAATTTTCTCTGGAGAACTTCCTGGCCGGTTCCGAATTTCAGTGGTTTTTCTGTGACCGCCAAAACGACAATAAAACAGTAAGATCCACGAAGAAAGTGGAGACAAGGGAGAGATTTCGGTGATGGACCTTGGTTGTTGTTGCTTTCCATGAAATATTCGGATCCCTTGAGGACGTATTCTCCTCCCGATGCTGGAGTCAAGGAGTCATCGTCGCAAACATCCTGCCATATGTAAGTGCTCTTGTACATTCTGGCCAGAAGAACAGCACACAAGAATCATGAGCGGATGTATTCACATACATTGATTTCTCGATACCTCTTACACGACCAGGAGAACATGTTTGGCATGCCGCCGCCGCGCAATATCGTCAACCGGTGCTTCACATCTGAAAGATCACGAATCAAGCCAGATACCGAAGGAATCATGGGAAATTTCTCTGGTTCCTGGCAAAGATTTCCATGAAACAAGAGCGATTACCTCGAAGGCGAAGGCCGTCGTGCGAATGCGGCACCTCGATCATGTGTGGCGGCTCGATCTTGCCGCCGCGACAGAGGTAATACACAACCTGCGCCTTGCTCATCATCGGCGGTGATAGCGCCCCTGCCGCCGCCGCTGCCGCCGCATGATTCTTGATCGATGAAGATTTCTGCTCGGCGCTGTGCTGCGCCGCTCGATCCGACCTCGCCATCGTCATCTCCCCCATCTGTGGCATCGCGCGTCGCATAAACTACACGAGAGTGGAGGTGGAGGAGGCGATCCGAGGAAGGCGCCGATCATCTGGACAAACAAAGCTCTGAGAGAATAGAGAAAGGGGACAAAGAAGGGGTTTTAGGACAGTAGGGCTTAACCCGATCAAGCTTAAGCGCCTACCGTTAAACTAGCCATATCTGGGACGGCGATCGTGCCACGTGCAACGCAACTCCGGCACGCACCGATCCAACGGCAATCCCACCGTCCACGGACGTATGCCCACATTCTATGCGCATTTACTTGTATATTTATATGGTTTTGGGTCACATGGCCCGCTCAATCACACACAATCTAGCAATCTCCATGGTTTGAACGGGAATATTTTTCTTACCACCTTGGTAGTTTTCAACGAATCTCGTTATCTCCGCTCCATGGGGAGGCCGCCATTAAAAATAATTTACCCGATGCGTGGTGTTTACAGTTCATTCCCGCCTGTCAATCAAAACGTTTGATCACATGGAAAGATCAAAGGCAGAGGAAGGGGGGAGGAATAAAAGTATCATTCACGGTGATCGCTAAGTAGTAAAGAATGCTTGTGGTACTTTGGGGTCATGGCTCGTGAGCCACGAACGTGTAGCTTGTCACTTTATACGTACGTACTCTGTACAGTTGTCAGTCGTTAGTTCGAAAGCACATGCCCCCTTTCTTCTTCGCGTATTTATCCTATACTACTACGTTAAACCTTTTTACCATACCCTTTGATTTACAGAGTTAGGTTTATCGAGCTAGGGCGAAATTAGAGCGGAGCTATGGTGTCGACGCCGACGGTAGCGGGCGCCGTGCTGGGCCTGGCGATTCAGCTCTACTGCAACGGCATGCGAAAGCTTCCACTGATGCGCCGTAAGCCCTAGCCAACAGCGATCGATTCTAGGCGGTGATGGTTTTCTCTCGTGCTCGCAGATCCATGGGAGCACGTCCTGTTCATGGGGATCGGCGCCTACGCGATAAACGAGCTCGTGGCGTGGGAGTATCGCACGGAGGCCGCTCTGGAGAAGAAGAAGGCGGAGCTTCTCCGGATCAACAAGAACAGGCCAGTCGAGTCCCTTCCCAGGATTTTCTAGAGCTGTGAGCCTCGAGTTCTTGTAAGAAATGTTGACATGGCAGTGGGATCCTGCTGCTCGTTTCGCCCAGTCGATGTTGCCGCGAGGGTAAAGGATCGCGAGTTTTCCTGGAAGAACAGCGTCGGTACAAGGCCGCGGGGCGAGGAGAATCGGGAGTTCTTCGCGGCTCTCCTCAGAAAATGCGGGAATTCGAGGGATTTGGCGCGTGGGTGGAGAGCCCACGCCCGGATTCTCGCCAGCGAGCACCTCCGCCGGAGCCTCTACCTCAGCAATCTCGCGATCGAGATGTTTGGCAGGTGTGGAGAGATCGATCAAGCTCTGGCGGTGTTCCGCGCCTTGGACAGGCCGAATGTCTTCTCCTGGAACATCACGCTCGCCGCGCTCTCGCAAAACGGGCACTTGGACTTGGCCAGGGCACTCTTCGCGGCGATGCCCGAGAAGGATGTGGTCTCGTGGAACACGATGCTGGCAGCCTTGGCAGAGAATCCATCGAGGCTCGGCGAGGCCAGGGAGTTATTTGCGCGGATGGAGGAGCTCGGATCCACAAGCGCGACGTCTTGGGTCGTGATGATCGCAGCATTTACCCGCACTGGCGATGTTTCCAGCAGTAGAGATCTCTTCGAAAGGATAGAATCGAAAAACACGGTCGTGTGGACGTCAATTGTCTCGTGCTACGCACAGAATGGCTTGCTTGATCAGGCGAGTGATCTGTTTGAGAGAATGCCGGAAAGGAACTTGGTGTCTTGGAACGTGATGATCGCAGCAAATGCCCAGAATGGGCAAATGCTTAAAGCAAAGGAGCTGTTTGATAGGATGCCCGAGCGCGACGTGGTGGCATGGACGACGATGGTTACCGGGCATTGCCAGAACGGAGAGAGCAAGAAGGCGATGGCTGCGTTCACGGCGATGGATCTCGAGGGCGTGGAGGCCAACGAGATGACATTCGTGAGCTTCCTGGACGCGTGCGCTGCCACCACCGCCATCGCCCAGGGCCGAGCGCTCCACGGCGATCTCCTCCTCCGCCCCGCTGTGTGGAGCAACGTGATCGTCAAGAACGCGGTAGTGAATCTCTATGGGCGGTGTGGAGAGATCGAGAGCGCGCGCGAGGTTTTCGAGGGGATGAGCTCCTGGTCGAGGACGATCGTCTCCTGGACGGCCATGGCGACGGCCTACGCGCATAATGGATTTGGCAGGAAGGCGGTGGATATCTTTCGCGCGATGGTGCTCGAGGGCGTGGCGCCGGATGGAGTGAGCATTGTTGGGATGCTCTACGCTTGCAACCACGCCGGGATGATCGAGGATGGGTGGCAGTGCCTCGCCGGGATCGAGCAGGACTACTCGCTGGCCCCGGCGATCGCGCACTACGTGTGCGCGATCGACCTCCTGGGACGGACTGGGAGGCTTCGCGAGGCCGAGGAGGTGATCGATGTGATGCCGTTCGAGCCAGATTTTCTGGCCTGGAACACGCTGCTCGCGGCGTGTAGAGTTCATGGTGATTTCGATCGAGCCGAGCGCGCGGCCGAGCGCGTGCTTGAGCTGGATCCCGGCGCGGTCGGGAGCTACATTCTTTTAGATTCTTCACGATACCCCTCATGAACCCTAGAATTTTTGGCTCCGAGGAGCAAAGACGTTGCTTAATCGGACGTGCCCAGCGGCACTCCCAGGATCCAGCTCCAGCAGCCGCTTCGCCGCGGCAGCGCCTCGCTCCAGATCGCTGTGGATCAAGCACGACCCCAGCAGGCAGCCCCAGGCGGCATTGTCGGCATCGAACGGCATCTCCTGGATGAGCCGCTCGGCGATTCCGATCTGCCCAATTCTCCCCGCGGCGTCGGCCATCGCACAGTAGTGATCGACGCTGCGATTCACGCCGAAATCGTCCTCCATCGCCGCCAAGATCCTCCAGCCCTCCCGCAATCTCCCAATGTGGCTACACGCGAGAAGCACGCCCAGCAGGGTGATCTCGTTTGGATGGATCCCGAGAAGCCCCATCTTCCGGAAGAGATCGATCGCGTTCTTCCCATTGCCCGAGTGGGCATAGCTCACGATCATCGTGTTCCACGAGACCACATCCCACACAGGGATCCGTACGAAGAATCTCCCCGCCTCATGCACGCCCGTACCGTAGGCAAGTGCGTGCAAGACAGCGTTCCACGACGTAACGTTTGCGTACGGCATCGCATAGAAGGTGGCCAGGGCAGCGTGCACGTCACCGTGCATACCATATGCCGCCACCATGGCGTTGCCGGCGGCGGTGCTTGGCCCTGGCGCACGGTCGTACACTGCCCTCGCGTCTGCCAGATGCCCGGAGCTGGCAAATGCATGAAGCATATTCGATGAAGCGATGCTATCGTGCTCGGGCATGGAATCAAACGCCCATGCTGCTGCTTCTACGTCACCGGCCAAGGAATAAGCCTGGAGCAGCGCTGTCCATGATACTACGTCCTTTTCGGGCATATCCAGAAAGATTTGCTTACATCTCTCCAGATTCCCCTCAGCGGCATATGCAGTTAGGGTCACGTTCCATGCAACGCAGTCTTTTTCAGGGATAAGATTCAGCAGTGCCTTTGCCTGCTCGAGTTTCCCGGAGGCGGAATACGCCGACGCCATGGCGGTACATGTGATGGTATCCACACGAGGCATGGATTCGAACACTGCCTCTGCATAAGAATAATGCCCACTTTGGGCATATGCAGATAGAATAGTGTTGCCGGAGACAGTGTTGTGCTCGGGCATAGAGTCAAACAGAACTTTTGCTTGATCGAGCTTGGAGTGCTGCGCAAGAGCTTGGAGAATTGTGTTGAAGGAAACTATATCACACTCACGCATTCTTTCAAAGACAGGGAGTGCGCCCTCAAGATGCCCGTTATTGGCAAATGCAGCGATCAAGATTGCAGAGGAGAATACATTGGGATCCTTGATCTGATCGAAGACACGGCACGCGGCTGCAATATCACCACATTTGCCATACATTTGGAGCAGTGTGTTAAGCAGGAAACGATCATGCTGGAGCTCGAACGAGGTGAGAATCAACGAATGGAGACGTTTTCCCTCAACCAGATCCTTTGTTGCAGCGCAGTGGCAGAGCTGATTTACAAGTCTGCTGCGAAGAGCATCAGCTTCCAATGGAATTGATGGTTGCTCAGTCCGTTTTGCAAGAATGTTGTTGGCAAAGTTCCCTGAGGTGGATTTTTTCATGTTCTTGGCCATCCACTGAAGATATCTATCTGGTAAATTATCCATTAGGGTTTTAGAACTAGTTTCTGAAGGTTTTTTACTTTTGTAAAATTCATTGTATACCTTCTAAAATTATTATTAGTACTAAATGAAAAACCATTGCACAAAAGAATTTAGTGTCTTAACTATTTGGTTTGCTTAAGTAATGTTTGGGATATTTTATTATATAAGTTATTAAGACTAATCTATTATTTTTAATTTATAAACATGTTTATAATTTATAAACTTTCCTAAACACTTTTCAGTATATTTTAGTTTATTCTACCATCTAATTGGTCAATATGCATTAAGAATAAATTTATGTTTATAAATTATAAACATGTTCATACTTAAAATTAAATTTGATCAATTAGATTAAAAATAGGAATAACATTACTGTTCATTACTGTTAAGCAAACCAAGTGTTGTTGTGCAACAAATTTTATTAATAAATTATATTTAATGATAATTATTAAATTAAATTAAATTTAGAAGGTCTATATATATATATATGTGTGTGTATATATATATATATATATATATATATATATATATATATGTGAGTGCTTTATGTTGTTAAACATGCTTGTGTTTGACTAATAAAAATGTATTATACCTCTAAATAAGTATCAAAACCTTGGATTTTTTAATAAAAATAAAACTTTAAAAAACTTGACATGTGTTCAATGACTAAAAAATATTAGTTTTTTGGTGATAGAACTAATAAAAGTTATGAATAGTAGAATGTTTGAAATTAATAAGTTTCCTAAGTATAAATAGTAATATTTTTTATATAAATGAATATTTATAATTTAATTTTAAGATATTAAATTATTATGAAAAAAATTAATTACAAAATTTATGTCATTTCAATTTTAGTTCTTATATCCTTTAATGTAATTATTGCTCCAAAATACTCACCATAAATTGGAAGAGTAAGTGTTTTTAATCCACAAGATATGGCTAAAATTATTGGAGCATTTTATGAATTATTATGGAAAATTGACCAAAGTAAAAATTCTTTATATACAACTACTTATGGAGATGATATTGAAGTTAACACTTCTGAAGGAATTGTTTCTGTATTTATAAAGCGAAAAAATAAATGTTCAATTGAAAGCTCAACTTCAACTATTAATGGTCATACATTATTTCAAGGTTTTATGAATGTATTATATCCAGTTATAGACACAATAAATTTTTATTCTTCAGATTCTTTTGAAAAAGAAACTAATACATATTTATTTAAATATAAATTAAAAGAAGATGATTCTACATCTTTATTAAAATATTCAAATAACAAAAGTCTCACTAATGACAACTCATTTTATTGCAATATCAAAATTAGTATTCTATATTTTAACACTGCACTTCATAGTGATAGTTTTTTAGTTTCTCCAAATGGAAAGAATATACTGATTTTAAATATCAATTGTGATCTTATTTTATATTCAAAAGAAAATAAAATTTGGGATATGTCATTTTCCTTTATAAAAGTATTTAATTGTTATTTAAAGCTTCTTAATAATGGAAATCTAGTTTTAGGATATAAAAATGAGGTATTATGGAATTCTAATAATTATTTGAGTGATAAAAATAATTTGTTTTTACCAGCATATTTCACGGTTCAAAATGACTGTAATTTAGTTATCTATAGAGCAAAATTTCCAAATATTGCTTTATGGAACTCTAATACAAATAATCATAATTTATGTAGTTTATAAGAAAATAGTTAATATTATATATTAATTTTTGTTTATTTTATTTTAAGTGGTTGAGCTTTATATTTATTTATATATTGGTATTGATTTACTCACTAATAGTTTAGTCAAAACGCATTATTATTAATGATTTTATTTTTGACTAATTTGGATGATTCAAATTTGATTTTAGGTTGAAGGTTCATATTTTTTCCCTAAAATTTTTACTTTTAAAGTAAGATTTATTTAAATCAATCTCAGTAATTATTACATCTTTCAAATATGATAAATAAGATTCATCTAAAAGAAGATAAAATTGGCATTAGAAATGGACTCTAGACACTTAAGGAATTGATGTTCAAATATTGCAATGGTGTGAATAAGAAAGAAAATAGAGCATGGTTAATAAATAATGATGGAAATACACAAATATAGATAATAGGTAGCTTTGTCTGTGTCTAAGATTTCTCAGAAGTAAGAATGGATAAAATAGAGAAAGTTCTCACCGTACAAAATTTCCACTCACCCACTAAAAGAAAAATATACACATGTCACAATATTAATGATTTTGATTAACATGGGGAATTCATGAATCTATCTCATTCAAAGTTGTAGCACACGTGGTTTTCACTCTTTATCCTATAGTGATTTATCATAAGATAACCACGAAATGAAACCTAAACTCTGTGAGACACAAATCCCTAAACCCCAAAGTGGAGTCGAAAGGGCACCACATGGTAGTGGCCGAAGCGAAAGCTAAATGAGCGTAACATGTTAAGACTGAAAGTTTCAACTTGAAAGGTCGAGAGCGGGAGTGGAACTCCCAATGAAGTGCTCGAGGAACAAGCACAAAGTGAGTGATAAGTGAGTCTCAAGAAAAGGGACACAAGAGGACTATCGTGAATGTGACTTCGAGTATCGAAAGTTACCTGTCGGCTAGTCTTTACAGACACTCTTACCTTACTGCCACGATGGCAGAAGGTTGGTATTGCTGGTTTGCTTTATCAGCCCCTCTTGTTCAAGTGTTAATTTATTGGGTTTAGCATCTGTCCTTAGTCAGACGGACATAAGGTAGGAACTATGTGTTTCTAGCTGAGCATACTCGGCTTGGCTCTTAGTTCTTTTTTGCTCTGTCTTGCACTAGCTTGACAAGAACCCTCACGTATTGAGATTGGTTCCTCAATATCGCTACATGATAGCTTACCGTGTCTGCCAAACACCTTTGTTATCATGCCCTTTGTGTTAGTCTCATTTCGGTCCTAAATGCTATTTATGGAAAGTGTCTAGATTTGCTCATTTGGCATGTTTACGGAATGTAAAGGTTGTCCTGAACACAATGGTGTTCATCCTATGTCCAAATTCGCAATCTAATGCCATTCCATATTTAGTAAGTTTCAAGTTTGTCCCAAAGACTAACTCTAACTCTTGATACTAAGGGAGGCTTGGGGTGAAAGCCCAAAGCGTGTGTTCCTCAAAGGGGGGGGGGGGTTGTGGGGGGTTCCAAATGTATAGTAGGGATAGTGGGTAGGTCGGGCATGGCCGACCAACCTGAGGCATAGTTTAGCTCCCGTTTGTGTGCCTGTCCTTGTTCTACATCCGGCTTAGGTCTAAGCCCAAGTTCCACACCATGCTAGCTGGTGGAGTACCCATGTCCTTGCGTTAGGCCATCGGTATGCCGAAATAGCACTAGACTCCGTTTGGTTCCGTTTTATATGCTGGTCCTGGCATTAGGATACTAGTTACTCTAGGATTGTTCCAAGTCGCTTCGGGCTCCTATCCCTATGCTCCGTGGGCTTTATGCTCGGGAGTTGCTCTATGGTTCGGTTCCATCACTCCTTGGCTCCATGTTTGGGAGTTTGGCACTGTTCCTTTGTTCAGTGGCCCAAGGCTCTGAACCTTGAGTTTTGCACCATGTTCCTTTGGACACGTGGCACAAAGAGGGTTTAGGTTCCGCTTTGTGGTGTTATCCTATGGTAAATCACCATAGGATAAAGGGTCAAAACCACGTGCGTTACATTTGGGTCTCGGCAAGTACTATCCAATGAGATTGGGGAACTAGTCTCGTTGCATACACAAAGATAAATATGATGATCCGAGTGGGTACACGTTTGGGTGCAAAGGCTTCGCAATCGTCCCTTGGGTATGGTTTTTGTTACCTTTTTGTACCGTGATAATGTGAGCTTGCTCTTGGGCTCATAAGAAGGATTAAGTTATTCTGTTTACACGAGTTTACGCTTGGGCTCGTGAGTGAGGCACATTAGCAACTTGAGGTTACACTTTGAGTTGGCAGGATTAATGTTAGCTTATCGGTGGTTCTATGAGTTGTTCTATGTACCATGGGTGAAAGTAAACTTTCCCTAGGTTTGCTATGAGTGGCAAATAGGTTGGTCCGTAGCTGTTTAGCACAACATTAGTGGATCCTTCCTAGGCATGATTATAAGTGAATCAATCAAAACTATAAGGATGAGTCTATTGATTCAAGTAATCATTGCCATGCTCTCTCATAAACTTTTCTTGGATTGGACTGAAGGCAGTGCAAACGCAAGCTTGAGGTTTAGTCAAGGATGAGGCCGAAAAAAAAGTTCATAGGGACGAAGGATCATGCACGTAAATCATCTTCTCTTTTGGAGAGATGATTTGCAACAAGGTGTGACTCATTGCTCATGTTCATGATATGCAATCAAGAGTCCCTATCTTGGTGCATATTGGAAATGATGGTTTTACAAATGGTAAGTTGTGGGATGGATAACAATGAAGTGCTATATCATTTTGTCTAAACTTGCTATTGGAAGACTTGGGTTGCAATGCTCAATTCTTTTCCGAGGAACCTTGCTATTGCTCCTTGAGTAGCTTAGTGTTGGATTAGTTTTGAGTTTGGTCAAAAAAAGAGTGGCATGAGTTTGTCTGTGTTGTGAACAAAAGTTAGTGGTATTGGATGTTGTAAGTCTTTATTGGTGGAGTGTGGCATTTATGTTACATTTTGTCGAGTCGAGTTGACACTTGATACTCATATAAACCTTTGAAGTAATGACAAAGGCATTGCTTGTGGTGTTGCTCAATTGATGATCAAAACATTGTGATACTTTGTGAACCACGTGATAATGAGCAATGTGTTTACGAAGTTACTTGGTTAAACAATAATCAACCCTGAAGTGGTTGATGGAGAAGCTAGCCTACTTGCAAGTAATAGCATTGTTGTAGCTTTGATTGGATTCTCGATAGTGGTCCATTATGCTAAGCTTAAGTTGGTACCTTGTTTTCTTGAGGGTTTGCCCATAAGGTGTTAGAAAAGAGTTGTAACATTCATTTGCTATAGCTTGTTGATGA